ATACTTAAAATATAGAATAAACAATGGAAAGTAAAGAATGAAATTGTCTTTAATACACAAGTGATTAACAAAGAAAATTTGTTTATTTTTAAAGGCAAGGATATGGTATGGGTGCATACTAAAGTATTATACAATATATGTGATAGGTAAGACATTGTGAATACAAAGAAATGAAGCATTTCATAATTCTAAACATTAGTAGGTTTAAATTATGAGATATGAAGAGAAACAAAAGCATGCAATGTGTGTTTATGTCTCTAGATGAGATCTTTTGATCTTATGATAAAAATCAAGGCTAATGCTACAGTTTGAGTTAGATCTCTTATTTTGTAACAGTGTCTGGCCCAAAAGTGCTAATTATATTCACAAGATCAAAGTCCCATACTGATTGCAAATATATTTATAGATCAAAAATTAAAATAGTGTGTAGAAAAAGTAGATCTTTACCTGTTAGTCAATGCATTGAATATTAAACATTTGTTTCCAATCGATATCACTGTCAAATGTAGAATTTGAAAGTAGTAATCACTGCAATAAATTTACACATAAGCATTTATAGAAATTTACAGATAACACTTTGGGAGTTAAAAGAAGAAAGTTAATGAGAATTAAAAAGAAATTACATTCAATAATTATGTATAAAATTATCTGTATGTGTCGAAATGAATGAATTATGCATTTGCCAAAGTATCTCAGTAGTTTTTATACTGAAAGTATAAATAATTATTGATTTTTCTCATTAGTTATACAAAACAGTTATCTATCAAATTAAATAAAGTCCATGACCTGAAAAACTGGATTTTGAATTTTTCAGACTGTTGTTATGATTACAAATTAAACATCTGTTGAACCAGTTTACGATAAGTTTGTTTATGTTTTGCAATATTTTAAATGAGATTAACATTAAATATCTAAATGGTAATCATAGAGGCATTTATTCTCTAATTATTTATGTAACATCTATATTTAGAATTAATATTACACAAAATATGTTGAATATTACCATAAAAATATATAAATTTAGTGCAAATGATGTTGTCAAGAGTGGATGATTTAAGTTGCGTGTCATATTTTCTCCTGGAAAATTTTGGTGGACTAGTAACTGATCACTTGCGGACTGGTACTTACCTACTGTAGACGAGCAGGCAATAAATTTCTTTTGATATTCTTTTGTTATATAATTGTTTCTGTCAGGGATGTAGAGTCGATAGACCAAGCCTCCAACTCTAACTCCTGCTTCTATATCTTGGAGATCATCATAGCATAAGACTATGCGTTACAGGAGGTTCCTACCAGGAGTTTAATATAAAATAAATAATTACAAAAAACTGTTCTTAAGAATGTTTGCACAGTGTGTTGGATGACTTTTCAATCATTCCGAGCATACACATGAGCATTCATTTTGCTCAATAGAAGTAAGAAGGTTGCGACTTGTCAAATTACGATACCAATAAGTCACGAGTTTATTCAAATGAGACAAGCCCATGCATATTGCAGTTTCGAGTGGCAAAATGTTGGCAGTAATTGCACGGCATAAATCACTCTTCTGTTCAGAACAAAGAAGATACATGAAATTCAGAGTTAGTGAATGGAAAATAGAAAGAAAGCATTTATCTCTCCATTCTTTACTCAATATCTTTGAATCTTGTTTCTTCTTTATTAAGCAAAGAAATTTATTAAAGTTTTCATCATTTTTTAGAAAATAAGTGCATTAAATACGATCCCAAGTACGTATGTAATTTTAATTGTAAGATTTTGATAATGAAAGTAATAAATTATGTAATGAGAAATTTGGAGGGTAAACTATTTTGCACAGATTTCATTTTTATTTTATCAGTTAATTTGTTATGTTTTTATAACTGGAGCACTTATTCAAATGATTATTTCTGCTATTTATTTATTTATTTAATTTTTTTCTTTACATTTTTTTTACTCAGTATGCCTGTTATTCTTCTCATTTCTCTAAAAGAAATCCTTAGAACTGTCATTTCTTGCAATAAAAGTAGAAAGCTTGCTTTATAAAGATAAAAAATAAGAAAAAAGTATATAAAAACATTTGTTTACAATTCAAAATTGTTTAGGTTCATCAAATATACTTGTGAAACTTAAGAAATTCATATTTAATATATTAATTATTTTCTGATCTGTAATTCTAAACATATTCTGACTGTAAAATATCCATTTATAGAGAGTAAAACGTTAAAACATCTGAATGAAATTTTTATTTAAGAACATAATGAATTATTTATTTCCCGTAAAAGAGAAAGAAGGTATAAATTCAATTTGACCGTGTGTAAATTCTCATATATACTACTTGAATATAGAACTTGAGCAGCATGCTTTAAACTCTCTCACTCCTATAATTTAATTATAAAAAAAAAACTTAGAGTTGCATTTTAAATAACTGTTTAATATTTTATATTATTTACATTACTTAATGATTATTAGTTCAGAATAGATCTGTTGTTTCTTGGCACGAGAAATTCCAAGACTAAATTGTGCTCATGGTTTAGCTTAATATAAATTATTGTGATCTGTTAGAATAAGCTGCATATTTTTTTTAAAAAGTAGGATAAACTGCATCACATTTAAAGAAACGGATAATTTGCATCAGGCCGAGAGAAATTAGGATAAACTGCCTGGTGGAAAGAAACTAGGATAAGTTACACTAAGCTGATAGTAATAAATTGTAATTTACCAATTCTAGGTGGATCTGAACTTATTACTTTCAGTCTGATTCATGAATAAATTTAAAATAGGCTACTTTTTTGTATTTCAGCAAATATTCAAGACGACAAATTCTTCAATTTTTATGCTAAACAAGGACAGAAATCTATGAACTTGCACTTCCAAAGATTAAATTTCCTGTTTTTGTTCTCTTTTATGCTTTTCATTACGTTTGTTTTTTTAGAGTAAACAAGGTCGTAAATCAAAACTTTCTTTCTTTTATATTTTCATTTTCTAATTATTCATTCAGTGTCAGGGATTTTTATTCCTGGAAAGTACGTAGCAATTTTGCTGTACGTTTACATGTATTAAAAAAAGAGAGAGCGAGAGAGAAAGATAAAGGGAACAGCCTTAGGTACAGTACAAAGCATAGGGAAATCTAATTAGTTTCGATGTTGGGAAGACCTTGAATTGCAGTTCTGAAAAACGTTTAATAAAAGGAATGCCAGATGCTTTACTAAGCGAGTTATTATTGATCCACTACTACACCAGCACCAATATAATCAAAGATAATATTCGACTAGGAGAAAATTATGAATTCGTTATCTCCTCCACACCTAACGACTTTACACATAAATCTTTACACACACTCGACACGGAACTTACGGTGTAATATAACTTTTCTGATACTTTTCAGTATCTAGGTCAAGAACTACAAGTTAAAAACGAAGGTAATTTATAATTTCGAAGGAGCTAAAAATGAAACACGCGAGTCGTACGATTGATTGTTTCCTATTAAAATTTTCATAAAGTGAAAATTATTGGGGAGGAATTGTAAATTGCGTGTAAACACTACGTGATTAAATGCAAATTTTATTTGTTAGAAGCGCGTAGACTTTGTTATTGTTATCAAAGTAATTCGACGTGAATTTTTCTTAGAAACGCGAAAAATGGCCATAAATCGATAGGAGTTGCACCCAAAACAGTCCGTTTATAAACGTTTCGTAAACAGTAAAAATGTTTGGTGTATCGACCTTCATTGATTACTTTCAGTCCAGATGTTAAATCCCCCTTTTCCCTTATCTTCTTTTTATGTACAGACCTCTATAACGTAACTTCCAGACCATTTCACTGTAATTCGATACACGTAAACCTATTTTACAGTCGTGTGTAGCTTTGACTAGTTTCTGATGAACCGAGATAACGCGTAACCTTTTAACATTGAACAGAATTAAACTATATACGTTTGAGAGTAACACACTGTTACTCTAATTTATACGGTTTAAATATTTATAAACACTGCGTATTTTGCCATTAATTTCGTTAATTCGTTCGCTACTTACGCTTAGCGGTCGTATAGACATGTTACTAACAACGTAACGATCGATTTATCATCTGTGAAAGTTTTTATCATCTTCATTTATCTAGAAAATGATGATTTGGTTGATAAGGCGTTGTTTGTGTCACGAATACTCGATATGCATTAACGTTACATCGAACTTTTTGACATGTCGGCACAGTTGTATGCGTTTTCTACATGGGGGTATTGATTCAGAAATCAATAAATTGCTTGATACAGAGGGAAATATCGAATTAAATTTCGATTTTAAAAAAAAATGATTCCAATTGATCGTTTGTAAAAGATTCAATTAGATAAAACTGATCTCTTCCTCCAATTGTTTTTGTTTTCCCCTCGGAAATGCTCTCTCGTAGAGGAAGAGATCTGATCGATTAGTTTGGCTTTTAAAGGAAAATTTTAACTCGTTTTAACGCCAGTTGACAGCTCTGTATAACCTTTATATTGTTCGCCAGATCGGGGAAAAAAAACCGCAATGTACAGGAAAAATACAGAAAAATCAGTTGGTAGTGTCAACAACTCTTCAGAACGCAACGAAAATTTATGTAAAGAACAGTTGCCCAGACGACTACAGCGAATCCTTTCAAGCATTACTCTATCGAATTAACTGGAAATCCTACGATGTCTAATCCTGGAACGGTGAGACGTTCTAGTTTTAAAAAAAAAAGTGATATTTATGTAGTGTTAAATAAAAGTGTTTATTGCAGGAAATAGCTGTAACAAGTATTTTTCCGGAACAAACACGTTAAATACGTATACATCGATAAACAATCAATAAATCGCCATTACTGTAGCGTGCATACTGACTTTGCATATTAATAAATCTTGATATACAATTGTAGTTGTGTTGCTGGAGTGTTTATTCTTGATATCTTGTTTGTTTTTTTGAAAAACCATTGACGTTTATTCTGTAATTATCGTAGTCTTTTCGTTTTAATGTGAAACGTCAGTTGTTATTTTTTTTATTTAATTTCAGAAACGGCTCCAGAAAGAGTTAATGGCCATACAGAAGGAACCACCACCCGGTGTTAGCGTCAATCCAAACAATATCGGTCCAAATCTAACCCAGTAAGTAGAATTTTTCGATTTATAATAATGTAAAGCCAAAAATCAGTCTAGAAAATGCTCGAGTTCAAATAGGAACAGGACCCACGACAATTCTAGCGTAGTAGTTAACATTACTGGGATGATTAATAAGAATGTTGTTTCTAAATTACAGATGGGTGGTGGACATGGAAGGTGCTGCAGGGACCCTTTACGAGGGCGAAAAGTTCCAATTATTATTTAAATTTAGTCAGAAATATCCATTCGATTCACCAGAAGTGAGTAAACTTTTAAGTAGATTTAATGTATTATATACATCGGCAACAGTAACGATAATGATTACGTCACAGGTCACTTTCATTGGGCCAAATATTCCCGTACATCCGCACGTCTACAGCAACGGTCATATTTGTCTATCGATTTTGACAGAGGACTGGTCACCCGCTCTCTCGGTACAATCCGTGTGCCTCAGTATTGTTTCTATGTTGTCCAGTTGCAAAGAAAAGGTAAGTCAAGTTCTAAATATTCGTCACGAGCATATATTGGGGATGACGTCATAGAGTCCGAATTACCGTTACAGAAACGTCCACCCGACAATTCCTTGTACGTGAAAACGTGTAGTAAAAATCCCAAGAAAACGAAGTGGTGGTATCACGGTGAGTTACTCGTCACAGTTACGTTTAATTAACGTCACTACGATAGTAACATTTCTTTTATTAACAGATGATTCCGTCTGACATCAAAGAATTTAGGCATTGCGAGAGATTCCATGTGGCACCAACACCGAAAAGTCAAAAAAAGTAAAAGTATATATATATATATGGACGATAATTTTTTTATTTGAGTCACTGGCACCAGCAAAATCTGTTACCAAAGTTTTATTTCTTCATCGGTTTTTGTCTTTTTATTATTACATTGTTCTTTTAAAAAATAAAACAGAGAACACGTGTATGTTTACTGTACTGCTAAAAAAACGGTGATAAAATTTCTGTATTGCTGGACAACTGGCGATAAAGTTAGCTGTATTGCTGGAAAACGCTGATGAAAAATTGGTATTGCTGGAAAGCTGGCAATAAGGTTTTGCTGTATTGCTGGAAAACGGGGACGATGAAATTGCTGTGTTGCTGGAAAACCGGCGATAAAGTTACTGTATTGCTGAAAAACCGATAAAAAATCCGATTGCTTTATGGACAATTTTTTTTTTGCGACAGCGCACCCTCTGGGGGCAAAAAACCAAGTTTTTTGTTTGTTTTCGCACTTCGCGTCCCTTTTATGAAGTTTTATTATTGTTTACTCTCGACACGAGAGAATTAAAATTAAAAAAAAAACAGCACTTACAATTGTATAATTCACTCTCAATTGCTTCAAAGATTCCTAATTCCATCGTAATTTGTGGATTCAAAAATAAGAAAAGGTTGGTATAAAAATATATATAAATATACAGTATATATATATATATATATATATTTACGATTATGTAAATACATTATTATGCAAATGATTTCTACGTTTTGAAGAAACAAAGTTCTATGTATCATCTTATTTATCTTATATTTATCACAAGAAGTCGTGTTACGTCATATAATAACTATTATTATTATTATTATTATTTAGCCGTATTTAGTTTTAGTGGAATTATTTTCTTTACCCACTGACGTTTACAAAAATCATAAAGATCTAAAAAAAATAAATAAAAGATTGTATTTTAATTAAAACACTAAAATATTATTAATGTATTATGAAAAAGTTATAATAAAAAAGAAAAAAACAGTCTTTCATTATAGAGAAGTGTATTGCGTGATGACTGATTAAAGAAGAAAAAATACGGAGACATAAAATTTGATTATATTTTCTTAATTTGCGAAAAAACCGGGAGGTCGCCATTTTGTTTCGTTTACGTGTAATACGTCACAATAAAACGAAATCGAAACATTTATTCGTAGTAATTTTGTTCCGTTCGGATGTGGATGAAACGTAATAAAATGCAAGTTTGGAATTTCGTTACAAAGCGATTCCTATAGCCGCCATTTTGAAGGGGGAAACAATAACTTTCTTACGAAAATTACTTTTTAATTGTTTACCGAAACAAATCTCATTCGCTAGTTGCTTATTTTCTGAAATTACCCTAATCATACCAAAAAAAAAAAACTCAATTTAACGGGCGGGACAAACCATTAAAATTCATAAACGATTTTCACAAGAAATAAAATACATCTCGATGTGTCGCTGGAATTCTTTCAAAATTTATTATTATTATTATTAACACCAGATGGAGAGACGTTCGATCGCGAACAAAACGAGGTAAAAAACAAAAGTAGCGCCATCTAACGTTCGAAACATTATTTAAAAATAATACACAGGCTTGTAATTTGGTGCATAATTTAATGAAATTTTTTTCTCATTCATTTCATCAATACTTTTTTTTTTATTATATCTTACATGATTTTTAGGATGGATGGTTAACATTGCATGCAAAACCATTACAATGAAAAGTATAAATTTCCTCATAAAATGTTGCACACACAAAGATTAGGAAAATAAATGAAAAATATTTACAATGGATGTTAAGACACACAGTGAAAAAACGTCACCAAAAAAATTTTCTTTATATAATATATATATATATATAATATATATTTTTTGAGCCCTTTGATTAAATGTGCATAAAAATCTTATAGGAAGCCAACAGCGATTTTTTTATTATTAACTTTTATGTATATATATATCATGTGTATATAATACATCCGCTTCAAAATAATGATACACCCAATCGGCAATTGTTTTGCGACAATACATGCAAATATATTAAAAAATATGTGAGAAAAATATTGGTCATCGAAGTCAAGGATGCAGCTGATCATCACCACCACCACCACCACCATGCAATTTAATGTTGTATTTGTTTTTATTCCATGATGTTGCCTACTATCTATTGTTTTCTTAAGGTTACACTTACACGTTAAGCATTGCTAAATTTGGGGGGAGGTTTTTTTTTATTACCTAAAAACTGACACGCAAATAATCTAAATACTGTACATACAATAATATATATATATATATATAATTTATATATTTATATATTCCACCAGTTCCTGGAATACTTTCAGAAAAATATCTAAGCAATTCTTTTACCGTTTATTGTTAACAATGACTGCGTAACTTCGCACCCTTCGTAACTATTTAACATTTGGCACGCTACTAAGTTATCATCTATGTATATATATAAATGAAAACCGTGATCGTTTGTTAATTTAATAATAATAATAATAATAATAATGATCATCATCACCGTCGTGTCATCATCTATCATCGTTACGTGTATTTTTGTTTAACTCGTATACGAAAATAAAAAACCGTAAACAGTTTTCATTTATTATTATTATTATTTTTTTTTTTAGCGCAAACTTAACAAACCTGTGTTAGCCGTTACTTTAACAATTCAGTCGTTGAGCTCGTTTAACATTTCACAAACTTTGTAACCTGTACAGTAAAGTGTGTATTATTTATTTATTTATTTATTTTAATTAATATTATTATTATCGTCATCATCATCATCATCAGGTTAAACCGATTGTTCATCACGTACACAAATTCTTAGACGGGAGGGGAAAAAATAGACAAAAAACTTTGCACACGTGTACACAAAAATTGTAGAACGTTAAAAATGGCGAATAAATTAAGCACGTAAAGAAATGGTTTTTTATATTATATGTAATATTATTATTAGTAGTATTATTATTAATTGTATAGAATCATCATCCTCCAATTTAAAATGCACGATATGTTAAACCACTACACAGATGATAGCACCCGAGAAAAGTTTGGACTTTTGTTTTTTTTTTTTTTTTTGTTTTTAACACTTTCCTGTACACTCTCTGCCCCTCTCTTCTCTATTATTTTAATTATTTTGGACAGCTTTGAGCACTTTTAGGGATTTTTGATTCCTCACTCGCGTGTATCTTTGGTGTGTCTACGTTATAGCTGCCACACGACGCACGTATACACACACACGCACACACACATACGCGTTACACTTGTTTAATTAATACTGGATTTCTCAGGGATTTTTTTAGATGGTTAAACTTTTTTTTTTTTTGTTAAACTACGAAGAATCGGAAGGCTAAAAACGGAATATTTTACAAGATGCTAATTAATCGGGTAAAACAAATGTTGGATTTTTCTATCGATGACGACAACACTCACCTGCTGTACTTAGGAGAGTATTATGGACTCTTCGGAAGGTTGACATCTTAGCACGTGTCTCTGCGTATCCTCTCTCTGGTTGAGATTCTCGTCTTGGCCGATAATCTCGGATGTTTGGGTGAACATGTTGGATGATTTGATACCAGATTTCTCTTGATTCAGTTTGTTGAGATTGGCCACGTCGCTGGAGTCCACGTCATCGATGCTTACAAGAGGGACTTTCAGAGGAATGTTGGAATTGGCATGCTTTGATGTGTCGCTTATGATGGAAGAATACTCCATGCGATTGCCACAAAAGCATGTAGCTTCTGATTGTGTACAGTGCGATATCTGATTATATGTACAGGATAGATTTGTACAGTGAAAGGGTAACGAATATGAAGGAAGTTCTGATGTCCATCCCACGTTTTCCGTTTCGGAGCCACGTTGGAGGGGCCTTTGGCTGACGGATCCGCTGATTCTCTGTGGGGGTGTCTTCCTAACGGACGACATGGCGGGGCTGAGTAGCTGCGACGAATTATCTTCTACCCCCACGAATTTTATGGGTTGGGCGTGAGGTTTGGGGCCCGTTTTCGGTCCTATGGCTTTTAAGGGTTGTTTGCTGGTGGCGGATGACTTGACAGCTGGTGAGAGTAACACTGAGGTAGAAAAGGATGTGTTGTTGTTGTTTTGAAGGTTGTCATCCGCTGCCTTTTTCATCTTCCTAAGAACAGTTTTTGAGATCTGTTCCGGAGTCGATTCTTCTTTATGTCCGTTATCTGTTTTCTTCAGGATCGATTTCTTCTTGCTTATGTCCGGACTGCTGATCTGACTCTTCTGTGGAGAGTCGGTGAGTAATGGGCTCTTGCTGCCCCGACCTAAAATGATACTTATTATTCAAAAACACGTGTAGAAAAATACAAGGACTTACCTGTCAACCAGCAAGAATAATCCATAATTTTTTTTTCAAGAAAACTACTTAACATAAGTAAACATTCTCAAAGTGCGTAAATAAAAAAAAACTTGGCTTTGTTCTATCAACTTAACCATTCCTAAGTTTTATAATTATTTTAAAATACAAGGTGTTCCCCTCGAAGTCTAGTTTTGAGGATTAATTTTGGGAAAAGAAACCTGAGTATAGTATTGTAACAATGGTAATAGAAAGTGCATCTAATAGTTAGATATTGCATTAAATCAGTAATTTTCACATACTCTCCTGACTTGACTACGTTAGGATGCATGTTGCATCCAAACGAAGCCAGCATGTTAGAAGTCATGATGTTAATGGCATCTGCGATTCTTGTACACACTACTGTCGTGTGTTGTACGTTTGTACCATACACACGATCCTTGACGTGCCCACAAGGAAAAAACATTCAAACAGATGATGTCGGGTGATAGGGCAAACGAAGAAATAGAGCCCCAGCCAAGAAATGGAGACCCTTTCGAGCTTATTGATCAACATTCTCCAACATATCTGAACAAATGGATTTTACAGAACAGTTTAAAAGTATGAATGTTCGAAAGGAACACCGTGTTTTAATTTAATTTTGGTACTAGCAATACTCAAGTAGAATTGAAATATTTTACGTAAATGAACACGGTGATATTTTTAAGTTCTAGAGTTATATTTGACAAGAATTAATGGATTGTGAGCTGTTACACTTCAGTATCTGCAGGTATATCTACTAACAAAAGATTTTTTTCTGATAAATCTGCTTGACCTATTTCTTACAAAGAAACTTCATATTTGTACATTTATATTAAACCTCTTCAGCAATTCTCGATAGATTACACTAAGGCACATCTTGTTAAAATACTTATCAGCGACTGATTAGCGTTATTGTGATGGGAATCGATTGAGAAAATGAAAGAATGAGAGATAAACGAGAATCGATCACGGATTTATCCATTGACGCAACCGAAAATATCATTTCGAGAACCGCAAAGATCTATATAAGTAAGTTTACCTTTAAGAAATAAAATGTTCCACAACGTTAAAGAAGAAATAAATGCGCTAGTATCAAACTTGACGTGCAGTAAATCAGTTACGCTAGAATGCACCATTTTTCGTGCGATCTCTAAAAAATTCTGCTACATTTTTAGTGCATTATTCGCAGATTATGGTACTAAAAATACTTTTTATTCGATAGTGAAAGTCGAAGTAACTATGTGGAAGTATACTTGTCTATTTAGAAGTAAAGGCTTCGAAACGGATCTGTATCGTCCTCTTTATATATATATTGTATATAATACTAAAAAAAACAAGTTAAATTGCCACAACACCTGAATAGGGCCAGTGTTCCATGGATGGCCCTTCCGGGGAGGCGTGCTGCGTTGTTCTCTCTTATTCCCCTTCAATCCTACAATCCTACTGCATCGGGTATAGATAAAAATCCCTCTTAGTGCCCACATGGCGGAGAATATAAAAATAGTAGTGTTTATTACAGAAATAATAGAAATGTTAAGCCCTACAAATATAATTATTGCATTACGTTACTATAAAGTAAAATCACAGTTTATTTCTGTTTAAATCTACACACCAATAATGTGTAACATCGTGTAATCATTCTGTAAGGAGTTTAGATGAAATTAAAAAAAAAAAAAGTTTCGTCTTGTTAATGTTAACTAATTCAATCGAAATATTATTTATGTTTTTCGGTTGTATACACACTTTCCATCAACGAACAGCTTTATTCTCTGAATGAGCTAATTATCTAACTTCAAAAATTCCAATATCGTGTGAACACGAGCATATTTTACACGCATATTATCTATATTATGCAAATACGATTTGCACAATAGTTTCATTAAATTCAATGCAAAATTATTGGTGTTTTTACACAATTTTACCAGCTACGTTTATACCAAAACACGTGGGAATATCGATCCTACAGAGAAGTTTCTATCTGACACGTCCTTACTCCTATATGTCAAGTATATCCTGATAAAAAGCCACGAAAATATACAACGAAGAAACTCATATTTTATCCAATTCTGTACTGCACTCTTCCTTCTAATTCCAACTGTGTGTTAATGTTAGGCAGGGTAATGCAATCTAAAATATGAGTAATCAATTTAATCTCCTTTCTTAACCTCATCGAGCAGACTAGAATGCACTCGGGATTCGTCAAGCATGTAATGTAATTCCCAACAAAATAAATAATATCACAAAATAGCTTAATAAATAGTAGAATGGCGAATAAAATCCGATTCTGTAATTTATAATTCGAGTAAAAAGCTCTAAATAATGTAAATCTATTATAATTATATAATTGTTAATTAATGGTAAGTAATGTGTACTTTAATTTAAACGTTAATGTTTTATTTTTTTTTTTTAAGTTTCATTGTTTAAGACGTGGAATTTTCAGCTTTCTTGCGAGATTTTAATGTATTAAATTGCAAATAAACCCGAATAAAAGTATTATTTTTCGGAATAGCATTATATATATGTTATTCTTTCTTTTCCATTAATAGGTCAAAATCATTAATCTTTATTTCTGTGAATTTTTCGTGTATCGATTCACATTTTCAGTTTCCTTCCCCCACTTTCCAGTCTTCTCAGAAATCAATTTCATTACTTGTTTATATATATATAAATGTTTTTGCACCATAATACACAAAATTTGTCTCTGTTATCTATAAGTGGTCGATAAAACTTAAGGCCTCTATCAGTAATGTTTTTTTTTTTTTTTTTACATTTGTAAGTAATCCAGAGAATATGAAGTTATCAATGTTTCATTTCTACTGTGACATTTTCCAGGATTCTTGGTGATATTTTTTCAAATTATACTAGCATAAGCAACTTATGTGTGAATGAGGTCCATAAAAAAAGAGAGGTCCTAGCCTAGTGACACTTTTTTTTATGGATCTGTCACATACAAATCCGTTTGTCGATATTTGGTTGGGCCCAGCATTAGGAATCTAGGATCTCGAGGATCTTTTTGCAATAAATCCTAAGAATCGCCCATTATCTCATACGGGATTTTTTTTATTGTTAACAGGCGCTTTATATTTTAATAATTTACTTAAATATATAAACTAAAAATCGCTCTACGAAATTTGTATGATGTTTTTAGGTACTTTATCAATATAGAATATCATTTGACATTGGCGGATTACCCAATATGCTCACCTAGGGCCTCAAATATTACATAAAAAAAAGATAACATGCCTCTATGAATTTAGTGAATGTGTATATTTCGCATCTTGGCAAGAATAGCGACGTAACATAAAATGACGATTTTACTGTCTATTTAATATTAAAAAAAATGCATTTTTTTTACATAAAGGACCTTATAAGAAAATTTGTCAAGAGCATCGAAGGAACTTAATCCGCTACTGTCGTTTGATACGGGGAATACAATTGCTTACAGTTTTGTTACCTCGTTACTTGTAAAACGGATTTAAACATACGGAACAGATATTACAGTTTCCCTTTACGTTCAATTAATGCTCCACTTTAAAAAAAAAAATAAGTTAGCAAGTCTAATTCTTGGATGAAAAATTGTTAAATCCGTTTTCTGTACCTACGCATTTCACTCGCAATCATTTAGGTGGTGATTTAGCAGTGGGAGGCTATTACATACCACGCTGATGATCTCTCATTATTCATGATTATTTCATTTACTAGATAATAAACTGCTAGACCGATCTATCTCTTAGTAACAAGGAGTTTCCACCCCCCTCAGTTAATAACGTTCTCAAACTGTTACGTATTACGAATTATTTCAGAATAATTAGCTTAGTTATAACCCGTTAAAAGTGCTGACAATTTGCAGATGGTCATCATCAGACTATCATAAACAGTTTGATGATGTCACTGTATGCCCATCTGCCAAATAAATATCATATCTGCATTTCTTGGCATCGGCTAGTTTCTCCTTTAACGCGACATTTATGAAGAGGTGATGCAATGCGATTTAATTCCGATAGAATTAAAATGAAATGCCACTCTTCCACTTCCGGTCGTTTCGACAATTATAAAGGGCGACGTTACAGATAATTTCGGCAAATGCTTAAACGTCACCAAGTATCCTGCAATTGGAAATACTTGGCATCAATTCTGAGCAGATGTGAAGGAGAGTTTGAAAGGGACTTCATTCCTCCAACGACTTTTATCTATTGTGGAAATCCATTTAGACGTTTCTTACTTTCATATCATGACGTTACATCGTGCTGTATGCGTTTAGAAAGCTATAAAAGCGTTTGATTTATTTCAGAAATGTCACCAAACATTTCACTTACTAAGATATGATCTAATATTCGATTGATAAGTCAGATAAAATAATTTTTTTTTTGTTCGAAAGTAAACGCACGATAAAAGATTTTATCGGGTAAATAGATTTTAATGTTTTTCTGGTTTAAGTGAAATCGTCGCTGCAGATAATCTTACAATAAATTTCACATACGCTACATTATAAAAGCTGAAACTATACACATTTACGGATTAATGTTCATAAATTCGTGACTAAGTAACTGTCTACAAACGCTGTTAAGAGAATTATAAACTGAAAATCGGGTCTTTACATACTTGTAAATTGTGTTATACAGAGAAACTTTCATTTTTTGTAACGTTTTTTCGATATTTCTTCCATTCAAACACTCTTTCTTGCCAATTTTTCGTCACAAATTTGCTCTTACGAAAATTTTTAAGGGAGTGTTCAATATGTTTTTATAAATTCGTTCTCTGAATTGTTTTATTGAGATATTTAGAAATATTTGTGTAATTCATCGTTTTGTTCTCGTAAAACCCTTCCAAATTTATTTTTCATTACAATCGAATAATGGATAAATATTTAAAGACGAAATGAATAAAGAAAAAGTTGTACTAGAGTGTGGAAAATTAAGACAAATTACGAGAATTAATCTCAAGAAAAAATATAAGAGCAAAGCCAAGTTTAACAATAAATTGTCTAGGTTACATGTATCATTGTTTAACTACATAAATCACATATGTAATCAATAATCAAGCTGACATTATTTAAAATCTTAGCTTTTGTCTAAATTTATTTCTTGTATTTAAAGAATGAACTTACCGAAACGTCCGAGAACTGCATGAAAACAAAGAAAATTTCAGCGGTTTTAAAACCAAATTTGAAACAAAGTTTAAATATATTTGTTTCATTATTATTTTTTAACCTTAAAACGGTCTAGAACTTTTAACATTATTTATTCTATAAATTATTCTGTAAAAAGACTGTTGTAAAATCGTTGTATATAGCCTGTCCCTTGTGCGAAAACTTTGTACTCAACTAAACTAAACTGCAATGAATAATTTTCGACGTGTTGTTATTGTCTAGGCCTGCGATTAAATATTTACACTTAATTTTTAGTCTAAACATTAATTATTAATTTATAATTACTGAATATATTCTGTGAAAAGAGTAGGAGGGTGTTAGCCGTCTAGCACTCTAAGTGCTAGTTAAAGCTAAAATTAAATTGTAGTGTACTAAAAACTTAAATTATAGTGTTCATTTACTTGTTTTTAAGGAACTAAATTAGATAACACTTTTAAAAATAAGACAAAAATATACTTACTTAATGAAGAAAACGGTGTTTTGATTCCGACTTTTGATTTTCCTGTCAGACTACCGGTTGTACTTATGGAATCGAGGGATGATAGTGAACTTTGCCGATTACCATCGAATCTCGGCCTTTGCCTGATGGCTTGAAAGAATCTCGGTTTCTTAATGGGTGGTGAGAAATTATTATGAATATCCTGCTTTGTTTTAAAGTCCTGCGAATGAGAGAGTAGAGGTACGCCGGTGTTGGCATCGTCCTCCATTTTATCTGTTGGTTCTTCGTAATTTTCACTATCTAACGAGGAAGAACTGTGAGATTTGTACATCTGAGATTGTGGTAGAACTTGGTGCTGTATGGAAGATGTGCTGGAGGTGATTAGTGCCGCGATGCTCTTACCAGAAGGTGCCGTATAGTCCGTTAAAGGGTTAACATATAGATTACTGTTATAAATGGGGCTTGCAAGTTGTTCTTCAGCAGTGAGATCACCTTGAGATTCGAACAGATGGGTGTTGCAACTCAAGTAAGTATCTGAACTTTCTACACTTCCCACATCCCATCGGTTGATAGTTTTCATTTCAATATTAGCGTGATAATCGTTCGGTTGGGATGTAAGATCTTGATCCATAAAGTCTCTGATGTCCTGCAAGAATAAGCATAAATAATTTTATCACTGCGCAATACATGTTTATAGAGTGTATAATCAGTGAAAGCGTGTGCTGTAACAGTATTATGATCATTTATTTTGCTTCTGCAAAGCAAAGATAATGTTAAAACATGCCTAAATATGTGCTTAAAATTGAATTTATGCTGTGCGTGATTATTTATATTTTCGTGTTAATCTTGTTAGCTTGCATCTTTATATGTGCTAGAATTTTAATTAATTAATTAACATGTGCATATTGCGTGTAATTGTGCGTTAGTTTGTGTTGACAGTTTAAGCACACAGTCAAGCATACATACGCTTGTAGATGAAATGAATGTTAATCACTTCTTCTTTGGACGAAATAGGAATCGATATGGATATGTAGGAATTTTTTTTTCCTTTAGTAAATAAATTTATGCACAATAATCTAATTTGAATAAATCCAATTACATAATTATTGTCAGTTACATGCATAGTAAAACACAGAAGAACATCAAGAGAAATAGGATAACAATGTGGCTAGGAAAGATTAATAGGAAGTCATAACATAGAAGATGTAAGTCTGCATACACACACTCAAACACACGTTCAAGCAAACACATCTGAAGTCTTGTTCCCCATACTTCTGTTAAGAAATAAGAACATCAGTAAACTGTTGAAGGATTAGTTGCAGAGGTAGACTCGTAATAACCTGTGTTAAGAAGGAAGTGAAGTGCACAAAGTGAGAAGCAGCAGGCAGGAAAAAAGAAAGAAAATAACTGATGCCATCGGTACAATACCTTCTCCTAGATGTCTACCTTGTTAGACTGTCACTCCAAGCTCCAGGAGCGACTAGTGGGGAGCACTGCGGGCACGTCCCACCTGGAAACAGCGCCAAACTCTGTGCACTACTACATCATACAATATTTTTATATAAGTAAAAAAAAATCCTAATTTTAAACTATATACTCGTATGGAATATGTGTAGCAAGATTGCACTGTTGTTCAGGTAACCATGTGTAACATTTTGCACAATTTTGCTACTTCTACTGATTTAAAAATGCTAAATATAAAAATATAAAATAGTAAAAGAGTGTTCAAAATTAATATTATATTAGCATTAGGCAATTATCATATGATCTAAGTCACCTTTTTTTTTCATGTAAATTATGTGAACAGACATATTGAACGTGTCTATTGGTCTGACGAGACTCCATCGATTTTTGCATAATTCAGCAAGGACGAAATTTATTTAGAGAGTGAGAGAGAGTTAAATAATAAAATAATTGCCTAATGTTACACAAAATAAATTCATATATAAAATATAAAAATTACAGCAAACTGAATTAATTGAAATGAACTCAAACTTTGTATAATTGTACAGAACCTGTTCTATCAATAGGACAGTTAGAAGTATTACTATTCCACTAGCACACGAATAAATCATGTCACATGTTCAGTGTAAATCTCGAGACAATTGGAGACGTTACCGAAATCTAAAATGATCCTGTAGCCAATACTAAAGTGCATTCCATTATTCAGAATCACTCTAAAAGTTTCTTCGTTAATTTATTTATAATTAATGCGACGAAATCAAATTTGAGTTTCCTCGAATTTATATTTCGTTTCTTCGCATGCTGTTAATTAATTAATATTCGATTAAATGATCTTGATACATAACTTTGGCAATGTTAAACAGCTACTAAAGTATAAAAATTCAGATAATGGAGTGTGTCTGGCTGTGGAATTCGTAAATAAATTAAAAAAAAAATACAGTAGACCTCCCTATAACACGGTAGATAATTCCGTGTTATATGAATTCCGTGTTGTACGAGTCACTTAGATTTTACAAATACCTGTGCCGGGCTGTAAACGGCTCACGTATTTGTAAAATCTAAGTGACTCGTACAACACGGAATTCATATAACACGAAATAATCTACCGTGTTATAGGGGGGTCTACTGTAATTAAATTACGTTTATCAACGTCACTGAACATTATTACGTTTTATTCAAAGGAAAAAGACAGCTAACTTCCCTCGAATATGACTTTTATGCGGAAACGTTTAAGCCATTTGTATATTCAGTAAAAAAAAAAAAAAAAACAAGTCACTTCCTGATTGAAAAATAAAGAGAATTGAGATTAATCCATAACTTGGATCAGATCGAGAATCAATCAATCGCACAGAATTCTGATCACGTTAGAATTTCTATTGATGATGCTATCAATTTGACAAATGTCTACAAAAGTTCAACGTCATGTTAAAAAAATTCTAGTTCCTTCCGAGATTTTCAAAGATCAAGAAGATTAATCAAAAAGCGTGCAGTCGATTCTAGAAGATCCATTATTTATTATACAGTAACATACTAAGCATTTTACCGAAGTTAAAACAAAGAAACTTTCAGAACGATTCGCTGAAATTAATTAGTAAATCGTTAATTAAGAGACTGTTCTAAAGTTTAAAAAAAAACGTTTTCCTTCTTGATACACTCAACGCATGGACTGAAAATAAAATTCTCATTATATCTACAATAGTTAAATTTTAGAAGTGTTTACTTACAGGAGACGAAACACCCAAAAGATTATTAGTTTCTCCACCTGAAACTCTCAATGGATTAAGATCTGTCGGATTAGTATCGACTTTGTTTTCTTCGGCACCCGTGATGTCTACTAGATTATTAGTACTAGGATCTACTGCAGATTGGCACTCTGTAGTTTGCGACGACTTACGCAGGTTTATGCAACCCCGTTGCATTATATGTTCGTGATTCTTGAAGCAACCGGTTCCTGTATGTATATGTGCACTGTCTCCCCCGATACTTCCCGCATCAACCTGCAAAAGTGACAAAATAAATTAGTTAAAATTAAGGTTAATGACCGAAAATCCATTCCTGTGATACCGTGTGAACCTGACAGCAGCAATTTCTATTTTAAAAATTTGGCTAACTTAACTTTTTTCCTTTCTTAATTTGGTACGCTATTAAAGTTTTATAATCGCTCGAACAATTTGAATGTTAAATTTTAGTTTAACTTGTCCTCATTTTAGAAGTTATTTCGGTGAAAAGAAATTTATTTATATGAAAATAAACTAATAATAAAATTGCTAACATCATTTACTTCCGGAATATTTGAAACGAATATCCCTGTTCGTTCCATACATAAATTAATTTAAAATTACAATATGTATAAGGAAATGTCATGTAAAGCCATGAATTATCATCTTGATTATCTGAAATAATACTTTAATATATGTTACGAAACTCCTCCCATCAATATTAAACTATTTAAAACAGTGTTTCGATTGTTCATCTGAAAAGATTAGCAAAGTATTCTAAGAAAACTTCTATAAAAATACATATTATCATCGTGTATTGATTTAATACCCGAGTAATTTGATATTCCTATATAATATAATCAATATGAATGTTGTATTAGGTTAATGCTCGACTAATTAGAGAAAATTAATGAAATTTTGCAGCTCTGTTTATTGTTGTGAATATAAAATTTCTCATTCAACCTTTCTGTAATTAGTCACTAGTTTGTTGTTTTGTTTAAATGGAGCTTCAAGCAATTTTCCACTCAATTTTTCAAATTTTCATATGAAAGTATGTACTGTTTCCTATCGAATTTTAAAAATTGTGTTTGTATAATTTATTGTACATGAAAAAAATTACTTACTTTAGTCGAATTTTGTTTATTTTTCAAAGAAAAACCTTACTTACTTGGCTTACGTTCTGTCCGGTTTCCGCTAAAACGTCGATCAGATCCATACTTTTAGCAAAAGCATCTCTAAGATTAACATGACGGAAAGCAACGATACTTCCTTCCTTTTTGGCTTTCTCCAGTGCATCCCTTCGCTTCAAAGCCTTCTCACGTCTCATCTGATTCTTATAAAATTCAGCAAAGTTGTTCACAATTATAGGAATGGGCAGTGCAATAACTAACACACCACAAATGCAGCAGACCCCACCAATAATTTTACCCAAAGGAGTGGTAGGACAGATATCACCGTACCCGACAGTTGTCATAGTGATACTTGCCCACCAGAACGCTTCTGGAATGCTAGTAAACGCTGTGTCATCCTCATCTTTTTCAGCGAAATATGCCAGGCTAGAGAATATCATGATACCAATAGCGAGAAACAACATAAGCAAACCTAGTTCTTTATAGCTGTTTTTTAAAGTAAAACCTAAACTCTGAAGTCCCGTCGAGTGTCGTGCTAATTTCAATATTCTCAAAATTCTCATAATTCTGAAGATTTGCACGATCCTCCTGACGTCTTGGAACTGGTCCGTGTGCTTGTTCGACTCGATTAGAAATAAAGATACAAAATATGGCATAATGGCTAACAAGTCTATAACGTTTAAGACTCCTTTGAAGAATTTCCACTTGTTAGGAGACGATATAAACCTCAGAAGGTACTCCAACGTGAACCATGTTATACATACAGCCTCGACCATGGCTAGTTTGCTGTTATCTTGAGTATGTTCTTCTTTATCCTTTTCTTGAAGCGATGGCAAAGTGTTAAGTGTCAGTCCAATTGTTGATAGTATAATGAACAAAATGGAGAGCACTGCAACTACCTGGAAAACAGTGGGTAAACATATGGAACCTCAAAAGCACTTAAAAAAAAGCGTGGCTACTACGCTGGGTACTACTCTACTTCACAAAAGGTACTACGTTCTATCAATAAAAAGCTGTAAAAATAAAAAATAATAATAAGTAAAGAGAGACAGAGGAAAGGACAGTAGGAAAATTAGCTTCTAAAGCTATTTTTTTTTTTTAGCCCTGAGCGAGTAGACTTGTTTCCTGCCACCGCTTCCACGACATGCAAGACTGCTTCCATCCATTGAACTTCGGTGCCGAGTGCTGTCTGCACATGCACAAAGTTGGCAGTGCTGCGACATTGCAATGTGCAGTTGTCACACTGCCCATTCCCATCATTAAAGGCAGAGAAGCACAAGCATCACAGTAAGCATGGAGGAGAATAGAAGAAGCTAGATAGAATTAAGATAGAAAATCAGCATATGTTATAAGTATAAGCAAATACTTTGTGGTATAATATATACTATAAGAGAATAGTATATCAATTCAAGTTGTATAAAGTATAGGCTGGTTAGTATCTCTCTTTAAATTGTGCTGAATTGCACATATTTCAATTTTACATCCCTCTTCTTTCTGTATTTATAAAAATGTCGTAGATACGTGCTATCAGGTGAAGTTATTTAATGATGGAAATCATAATAGGTTTAACTTTTTATGTGTTCCCCATTCTTTTTATCTATTATTTTATAGCGGGCGACATTTCTGCCAACTTTTAATCATCTCGATGATCTTAAAACAAAAAAAAAACGTTATCATCATAAATGGGTCAACTGATATTTAATTGCTGTCAGATGCTTTCGGCAATTAGAAAGAGCTCAAAAAATTAATATTAGTTTTTATTCTAAGCGCGAGAGAGGAGGGAAAAAATCAGAATGCACTACAGTTTTTCCATTTATAACTTTCCGGTTAATGAAAATCAGCTTAGTGATAATTAAAAGAGTGGTACTGTTTTAACTGCTCTGATTAAAGTTTTAAAAAAAATACATGTGGGAGGGCCATTGATAAACTGCCAAGTTGAATCTTTCTACTTTGATATGAAAGCATCGATATGCAAATGATGACATAAAACATAGCACCACTGTCTAGGATAGATATTTTTTGGACAATCTACGACATAATAGTAATAATAATAATATCAATAACTATAACTTAGTATATACTGTACTTGCAAAAATTTCTATCATTAAATGTTAAACTCTACACAACCGTCGTAGGTGTTAATTTTATATGCGATTTTCCAAATTTCCATAAGTTAAATGTCGATTTGTGGTCATAGTTTATGAGCATGATTACTCGATAATCACGCACACACAACATTGAATCATTTATTATCATCTGAATTTAAATTTTACAATATACCATAATTCCTTTGTAAGTAGATGAAGATGTTGGTCATATTTATTTTCTTAAAGATAAAGTTATGTTAGCTTAAAACAAATTTATGACTAGTGAACCAATAAACACAAATGCTCCTTTAAACAAACATTCCGTCAATGTCAAAAAAGCGGATATTTTAATTAGACCTACATAATAAGGGGATTAAAAAAAAAGAATGACGGAGAGAAATATTAGCTTATTCATTGATATATTTTATTTCGGAAATTCGCATGATATTTAGAAAATTGCGTGTCAAACGTCACGAAAACGTAGCGAACTTCGCATTATTGAACCAGTAGAAACTAGGCAGAAACTCGGTTGGCCCTACTTTACTACAACACGAAAATCGACCCATTGACGTAAACATTTTTACTAAAACTTCTTGGACGTACAAGTACAACGGTTACTGAAGAAAGGACGCGTTAAAGGTGATAGTGACCTGAAAAAAGAAAATCAATTAAATATACAATTCAGACCTTAAACCGATTTTAATTTTCCTTTATGGGCCTATGGGAGTGGCAGCAATCAGGTATTTTTACGACACTAATTTAAAGTCGGTTTTTGAAAAATGACAGGATACGACTCTTTTCTCGTTTTAAATATTTTCACACTTGTTGACGTTAAATAAATTTAAAATATTTTATTTTTAGTGACATAAACACGCGCGTATATATATATATATATATATACACACACACACATTACATGTATGTGTTGTGTTACAGAATTTCCTACTGGTTTCAGGATTGCGTTTGATAACAGCAATCGACATAAATCTACGAAGTGAAACGTCATTATCCGGATGTTTATTCCTTCTCTCACAATCTGGAATTCGTATGTTTTAACCCAACTTTCTAAATTTGTGTTTCTAAATTTGAAACTAGGCGACATTTACTATTGTATCTCGCGTTAATTTTGGAACAATACGTAATATAAGAGCCACAAGAGTCTCTCCTACAGTAAAAACCTCCCTCTCGTTGACAGTTGTTACGGAAATAAATCTAAATTTGATTATCGAATCGGACAAAACAAAACGAGAGAAAAAAAAAGTACAAATTTTGATTTATTATTCTACAAGCGAGCGTGGTTTGGTTTAATACCAAAATTAGGACAAAATGCCATTTGCGTAATGGCGGAATGATTATATTAATTCGTGAATAAACTCTTTAAAATTGCATTTTACGGCTTAACTTTCTAAAAATAAAAAATAAAGATACCGGCAGAAATGGGTAAATAAATGAATCGTTTCTGTTTTTAGCAATAGTAAATAACGATTTGTTTCGATTTAATCTGTGTTACTGTGCGCTTAGTGTATTTTTACAGTAATTAAATAGTTTTATTACTTCTTCCCATTCTGTTTAAATGTCTATGAGCATGCAAGAATTCGATTCTTCCATTTTCTTATCAATAAAATACTGTATTTATTTTTCGAATATTCTAATAAACTTATTATTTAAATCTTTCTTCATATTACAAGCATTCAATTCGAATTATAATTAGTGGTATAGGCTACAGAAATAATTAGAGTATACAGACAAACACACTTATCAACCTCATAAAGTAACGCCTAGAGCGAACCTATACAAATTTTAACAAGAGGTGATACACAATCTACAATCTTCTTTCCATTAACTCTAATTAATTACGTCAATTTATTGCCTATATCCATATTCATAAATGCTATTCCTAGTCGTAAAGGTCACCCCGCCGCGAAAATATCTATCTAATAATCCAAGCATGCGGCGTGTTCAGAATTCGAATTTTTGCCAGTTCGCTATACAAGAGAGTCACTTGAATGCAATATCTCTTACAGGGATGATAACAGGAAGAATAATAAGAAAAATCTTCCATTCTTAGAAGAACAATAATATTAAATACGACATTTTTTCCCCCTTCCTCCATCTCTTAAAATGGCAATAACGCATATGCCATGAGGAGGAAATAGTCAATACCAACAGTGAAAAACTGAAACTTGAGCTGGATTAAACAATAAGAATTTAATCTGAGCTAATTAAATGAACGATTAAATTAAATCCATTTATGTTATGATGAAGTAGTGGCTGGTCTTACATAAAAATCAAAATTAATCTTCATTAAGATAGTAACAGATAACACGAATTTGAACTGTTCTTGCTGCTTTCTGATTGCTAGAAATCCGAAATTGTGTTTACATCAACCAGGAAGGACGTATAAACCATCAGAATATTCGTTTTTCGAAGTTTAATATAAATCTGGCGGAGAAGTTTCACGCGTAAATTATTAAATAACTCCACAATACAAGCTTATATATATAACCACAATATTCATAGAGTCAATATTCAAGTGGCACAGTAGCACTTGAATATTATTCAAGTGATAAGAAATATTTCCACTAATTAATCAGACATATACACGCTTAGATTCGAATTATAATATTTGAACGCTTTGTATTATTAAAAATAGAATGTATATTAATGTGACACCGTCACTATGTCAGGCAGCAATTTTTAATCACGTGTTAATTAAAATCATGTAACTTCTAGTTTAAACAAGACGTTTACATATAGTTAATAACCAAGCCTTCCATATCTGGTCCTCGATTTTAATCGAATTCTGTTCTTAATGTTAACGAAGGACAGACGAACAGACCGACGAAAGCGGGAATGTATACGTCTGCGATTTGAAAATTGCAGCCCAATAAAGCTTACCATTACGTCCTACGAATCTCTAGAATTACTCTTTTTAAAATACTAAAAATATAACGTTATATTCTACTTCTTAATACTATAAGCGTTATAGAAAGAAGAAAAAATGGAGAATTTGATAAATAATTCATGTTTAAAAATAGAGCTGTGAAAGCCAAACGTGATTACAAAAAAAAAAAACTTTGATCGTTAAGTTCCAAACCTGAGGATAAAGCTAAATTAATCAGTAATATACTTTTAGGATGATCAAGAAAGGAGATAAAAGATAATTTATTAACTGCATAATCATTCTCTCCATTGAGTGAACTATCGATCTGTAAGAAATCACCATTTATTATGCAGGTTCTGGTATGGAATAGTAGAATTTTTTTAAGGACTAAACGGATCTAATTCCAATTAAGTAACTAACTAAATTGCATTCTTTAATAGATTATACTAATATCGATTGGTGCAAGTGGAGCAACAAATGTTTCTTTCCTTAAAAACAGCAAACCTCCGCCAATCGATCGTTTCGGACGAGATTGGTATACAACAATTATATTTAATTGGACAGGAATGCTACAAAAATTGTTTTCTTTCCTTCATGGCATGGGATATTTTTCGTGGAAAGGAAAATACATTTCACTTTCTTTTTTATTTTAGTAAACAGAATAAATCCCATGGAGTGGCTATGCTAATCCATTCGGTTAAACGCACGACACAAATGCACCTGTGCATTTTACAGTCACGTAAACTGAAGAAAGAAAATATTTTTTTATCCAAGCAACAGTCAAAATAACAACTTCGCTCCAAACAACAATTCCAAAGCAATTTTAAAACAGTAATAAATATTTCATCTAAGTGCTGACTAAATGCCACTTTTTTCCTTTTTTTTTTTTTAAATTAATATTTTAAAGGTGCAATACCGTGTTTGCCAT